TTTTAGGGGCCAGCCCCTTTTCTATAGTATTAAATGAAAGCCCTTGCAATTATGCACAACTTCTGTTCAACATGTCTTAACAAAATATTTTTAGTTTTCAAGATAAAAAGGAAAACATGTGTAAATTTTCGCTCTTTTAGGCGTTCTATTTTTTGACCCCTGTATAGCGCCATTTTGAATAGAGAAATCGAAAAACAAAAACCGATGTGCACAACTTCAATCCTTCTGTTATCTAAAACCAGTAAAATTTCTGCTCCAGCTCTAGTGGTCTCTGAGCCTTTGTCTGGAAATGAAAGGCTATAATTTTTCGTTTAAAGGGAAATAACTCAAAACCGGAAGTGACTTTTTGAAATTATCGACAGCATTCTGATAGAGTTTATTACCGTCTATAATGCCTGAAAATTTGAACAAAATCCATTGAAAAATGAGCGAGATACGAGGCCTCAAAGTTGGCGTCTAGGAAGAAAAAAAAAAAAAGAATAATAAGAATAATCTTAGAAGGTCTTCCAATGGAAACGGAAGACCTTAATAAGTCATAATAATTTTTAAGGTTTTAATTCATTTGCTGACTTAAACCTATTTTAAATTATTTTAGTAACAGTACACACAGTAAAAGTCTAATTGCAATGATTTATAATTATTTAGTCAGAAAAGTCACATTTCACTCTTTTAATATTTATTATTTTTTGTGTTTTGTATTGTAAAGAAAACGTATTTCATCATTCAATGTTCATTAATTAATACGAGGTTTTAAGTATCTGAAATATAAATGTTCACATGCATGTATATGAGAGCTTACCGTACACTTACATGTACATGTGCAGTTGTAGCAGATTCATCTTCTGTTGACACAGTTTACATGTATTGAAGCAGAGCACTATTATATTAATATTTATTTAGATTTCTACTCAGAAATTTGATTTTCTTTCGACGTGTAGTTGTTTCCTAAGATTTGAATATTTAATTGCGACCGCAGATTGTAAGCTTTAGACATTAAATACAAATATTTAATTTACAGCGTAAATTTCTTCTGTGAAATAACTAAGTTAGTACTTGTAGATAAATGTTTTAGGTACAAATGTATTTTTGTTTTCATTAATAACAAAATAAATTTATTTATAGTGTTTTATAAATATATAATAGTACTGTACAGCAGGAAATTAACTTGCGGAGTTAATATTTGCTATATTCGCGGAAAAAGAAATTCCGCGAATTCAACATACAGTGAATAATTCTTTAAAAGATTTATAAGCCTTAGAATAAATTTAAATTTTATTATTATCTGTGATTAGATGTACACTGTCTTTACAATTATGCGAGTGTACACGTAGCTGTTGGTGTTTTTAAAGCTTATTAATTGTTCAGTTATTTTCTATAGCTAATGATTAATCTAGTAGACGTGCGATGTAATTATTTAATAAAACCTACTTGTTTAATTTTACCCGTGCGTATCACTCAGACATTACCTTTAATCAAGGCACTTACGTGGTAAACAGGGTAACAACAATTAATTAATTTCAATTAGATGAATAAAAGTTCAACATTTTGACTACGGTATTTTTTTTTTCTGATTTGGACCATGAAATAAAAAAAAATCTGAATGCGTAACATTATTTTGACTTCAAATCGAATCAGTCCGGTGTTTTAATTCAATCGGGATCAAAATCGACACAATATTGACTTTCCTGTCTGATATGCGCGATATACATGTACAGACTTTCGTAAGATAGAGACAGGAAATATCAGTTCACACAATATATACCTAAAGAAAAATGCTTGCAAGTACTATTAAAGAAATTTATGATTTTCGTTTCCGCGAATTCAAACGACCGCGATTTGCTGAAAACTGAACAAATCGCGATCTTTTCCGACCGAGATTTTAACCTGCTATACAGTATACCAGTGAGAAACAGCACAAATCTATGGGATTTTTGTGCAACCATTACATGTATGTTCAAATACCCGTAATTAAACGATTCATAGATCAACCTTAAGATAGGAATTTCGACATTTTCAATAATAATCTCAAATCTCCACCTTTGAGTTGAAATTTAAAACAAGAGGCCCATGGGCCACATCGCTCACCTGAGCACATTGTGTAGGAAATAAAAGCAGAAATCACTGGAGTATTGAGAAGTTTACAAGGGGGTGGGGGTCTGGAATTTTAAACTTCCATCTACTTGATGATGCTTCCATACAACAAATGCCTTTGCTGTTTTTGAGTAGATGAACTTTTTCCAATTTATTCATTTGGACCCCCCCCATCTTGTGGCCCAGCCCTACCCCTGGGAGCCCTTATTTGAACTAGTTTGACGTTTTACTACCTGAGGATGCCTTCATATCAATATGATTAAACATGGCTTTTCTTTTTCTTGGGCAAAAAATTTTCCTTGATATTTCTGGGCAAAACTTTGATCCCCAATGGTGGCCAACCCTACCCAACCCCTGCTTCCCGTTAATGACTTGAACACACTTGAATCAACACTACGTGAGGATGCTTACATAAAGATATGACCAATCATGGCTTTGTGGTTCTTAAAAAACAAGAGGCCCATAAGTTTCATCTTTCCTGGCACAGTGGTTCTTGAGAAGAAGATTTTTAAAATATGCCACCAAATTTTCATTAATACCCAATTATCTCCCCTTGAATGAGGGCGTGGCCCTTCATTTGAACAAACTTGAATCCCCTTCACCCAAGGATACTTTGTGGCAAGTTTGGTTGATATTGGCCCAGCGGTTCTTGAGAAGAAGTCGAAAATGTGAAAAGTTTACAGACAGACGGACAGACAGACGGACGCCGGACAAAATGCATACATGCCAACTTTTGAAAATTTTCTTGGGGGAGATTGCGCGTAACGACATTTTTAAAAGTTCCTAATTCGTGGCGTTTTGTCGTGAAATAATTTTTTATAGGTTGTGTTTTCTAAATTATCAATCTACTACCTTAATTATATCATATATTATTACTACTTCAAAAAGTGTTTTCTTCTCTATCAACTTAAAGAAAAGCACAAATACAATATCATTTAAATTTAAAAAATAAAGACAATTTTATTCAAAATAATTTAATATGTTAATATTAAGATAAACAATATACCCTCTCTCTTGAAGAATGTGATACACAAAGTTAACATATTATTACATGAATAAGGATGTTAAACTTTACAAATAAGCTGAACTGTTCATTGTCTTTTGGTAAATTACAAAGTTGATAAGGCTACTGTTATACAAAATATTATTAAATTATTTTTTTCTTAATCAGAGGGAATATTAAGTCATTTTAACTTTTCAATCAAAGTCTGCAAAAGGCATGGTCTTTTCCTTTCTTTTTTAATTTGATCACTGGGCAGTCCTAATGGTTTTTACTTGTAGGCACATTTTTTCCATGTTGGATTTGGGCAGTGTCTTTTCCATGAAGTAAATAATAATTTAATGAAGAATGCAATATTCCAAAACTTGAACACCTTTTATAAACGGTTTATAGTATATTGTCCGAATGTCGAAGTTTGCTATAAAGTGTGAACTCTCACAAGTTTGTCAGTTTGTATCCAGTGTCGTGTGTATTTCTAAAATTTCCACATCTGGCATAATTGTCTTGGTTAAAATACACTGTTAATGAGGTTCAGGAGCAATAAAAACCTCTATAATGACTGGTAGCACAGTTGACACCTTGTTGATTACCTGTTATCAGCGGCAATAAACAGATATCCTACCGATAAACATTGAAACAGCCATGTTTTCTGCACACGGAAATACTGTATTATTCAAAGCGAATCGGTAAAAATTCCGGATTTTCGAAATATCGGTAGAAAAGGGAGAAAAAAATTAATCGGTAGACAAGCGGTAGACAGGGTTAAAAATCAGTAGACTCCCAAAAAAATCGGGAAAGTTGGCATGTATGAAAATGTGATCAGAAAAGCTCTCTTGAGCTTTCAGCTCAGGTGAGCTAAAAAAGTTTAAAGAAAAATTCCGATGTATTCATTCCTATGGAAAACTTTAATCGTCCATTGTGGCCCCGCCCTACCCTTGGGAGTCATGATTTGAACAAACTTGAATCTACTGGTACACTACCTGAGGATGTTTTCAAATAAGTTTCATCTTTCCTGGCCCAGTGGTTCTTGAGAAGAAGATTTTCAAAGATTTTTCCTATATATTCCTATGTAAGTCTTTGATCGTCAATTGTGGCCCTGCCCTACCCTTGGGGGGTCATGATTTGAACAAAATTGAATCTACACTACCTGAGGATGCTTCCATATTCGTTTCACCTTTACTGGCACAGTGGTTCTTGAAAAGAAGATTGGTCAAAGATTTTTCCTATATATTCCTGTGTAAAACTTTGTCAATTGTGGCCCAGCCCTATCCCCGGGGGTCATGATTTGAACAAATTTGAATTTACACTAATGTTTCCACATAAGTTTCATCCTTCCTGGTCCTGTGGTTCTGGAGAAGAAGATTTTCAAAGATTTTTTCTATATATTCCTATGTAAAATCTTTGATCATCAGTTATGGCTCAACCCTAATCCCTGGGGGGTCATGATTTGAACAAACATGAATCAACACTACCTGATCATGCTTCCATATGAGTTTCATCTTTTCTGGCACAGTGGTTCTTGAGAAGAAGATTTTGAAAGATTTTTCCTATATATTCTTTTGTAAAACTTTGATTTTCAATTGTGGCCTCACCCTATTCCCTGGGGTCATGATTTGAACAAAACTGAATCTACACTACCTGAGGATGCTTCCATATAAGTTTCATTTTTACTGGCCCAGTGATTCTGGAGAAGAAGATTATCAAAGATTTTTCCTATATATTCCTATGTAAAACTTTGATTGTCAATTGTGGCCCCGCCCTATCCTCGGGGGTCATGATTTGAACAAAACTGAATATAGTCAAATAAAATTTCGTGAGGGATTTAATTTCCTTGATAATTGTTAACAAGGAAATAAATGAAATTTAACCCCCCACGAATATTTCTGCTTTCACAGTATATAAGAAATACCTGGCCCTGAGTTAGTCCATACCACTGGATAATTTTCTCCCAGCCTTCTTTAGGTATTAAAATATAATCAAGTTCATCAATTAAATGGTCTTTTAATTCCTGTGTGCCTTCTGCAATATAAAAAAATAAATTGCATTTCATTCTTATTTTCAGTTTGGCAATAAACATGATAAAACAAACACTGAGGTCCAAGCACACAAATGTGAAAAATTACAGCAAAACTCAATTAGTAGGAAAACTGATATTGCAAATTCATGGATATAGCCAAGTTATCTTGGATCCCCAGATTTATAAATTTAACTAATTCCTTATATGGATTTAACGAAATACTGATATCGCAAAGTAATTTCATAGGTCCAAGTGACTTTGTTATAACCGAGTTTTACTGTATTTCAGAATCAAACACTGAAATTTAGGAAAAATACCCTATACTGCCATCAAATAAGATGGAGGCCAAGTTGCTCACCTGGCACATTGGTTAGAAAAATAAAAGTACTGAAAGTACTGATGGGATTTGATTTTAATGACGATTTCATGCAAGAGGCCTAAGGGCCTTGAATCACTCTTCTGATAAATTGTATCATCTATCACTTATATTTGAAGCCTCTAGGCATTTTGTTAAATAACGCCTTGAAATTCCAAAAGTGGGTCATCATGACATACATTTTGGTTAAAACACTCTGAGAGCCCAGGATAATCAACTAACAAAAAGTGATGATATTAAGCCTCTTATTATCTGAAATATTAAGATATAGCCATGACATTTCAAAAAGTAGGCCATGGTAACCTACTTTTTGGTAAACTTACTCTGGTTACTAAAAAGGAACCAACATGATGATAATATATGTTGTACAGTCCCTGAAACATTCTACTTTCTCACCTGAATGGTGAACGAATGCAGAGCGAACAGTGAGTGAATGATATATGAATGCTTAACACAATTTGGTGAATGAAGTGTCAAGGGAGAACGGTGAGTGAACGCAGAACGCGAACGGAGCGCAAAGTGAACGGTGAACGCAACATGAACGATTTATTTGGAATGCCTCCGATCTATTCCTTGCATTGAAACTATTCTGTTGTATTCTAATGATAGGTGCTAAAATATAAATAAACAATCAATAGATAAATAAATAAATAATTTTAAAAAATTTCTGCGTATACGTATGATGTTTAAACTCAGTATTTCAATAATAGGATTTCTATTGCCGTAAAACATGTGTAACTGTTACCAAACATGTGTAATATAAAACATTAATCTGCTAATAAAATAAATATGCTTATTCTTTTAACTAATAAAATAATGTGAACTTCAGAAGAGAAAACTACTTCGTAAAGAATGAATTAATTACATTGTACCACAGTTGTAAAAACCATATATTATATATTTCCGAGCAAAGGCCATTCCGTGTAAACGTCTGTTGACGTATTGCATAAATACACTTGTATTTTAAAATTTTAATGCAATAATATTATATCTATGTGTCATTTTTAAGCGCTAAGCGCATGCGCAAAGCGCTTCTTAGGTAGGCATCGAAAATTTCCATGGTCTTTTATCAGCGCCCCCTATCGATTATGTTTATCTTTTATCAAAGCCCGCTACCGAGCCTATGTTTTTTTAAACATGTTTGATAACAGAAAATATCTAGGTCATTTTTCGATTGATAATTCTTTTCACCGATGAATTGATAATACTATATCAACAATTGTATTAAGTGCATGTTTATTGTTCGTCAATTATCATACAATTTCCTCTTACAGAAAAAGATAATCATTCTGTGTACATGTGTTTTAATAAATGACGAAATTTTCAATCCCTGGTCGGATTCTGCTTGTGTGTAGACTGTGTAAACTCATTGAAACTGTAGGGAGCGTAAGTATAAAATGTGTAGGAAAACCCGAACCAGGTTGGAGATTTCTAAACTGAAAACCAGGATTGTTTAATTTTTATTAATCAGAATTCGTATTCATATGATCTAATTAAGAAAAAAAGTTTTGTCTGCCATGGTAACTTCTCGGCAAAACAAAAACGTGTTTCTCCGAGCTCGCTTGATGGGTTTGACAAAGTTCTCCATCGCATGTGTGTATAGACCAAGGCAAACTGATCTTGTGTACACGTTTGTTTGGAGACTGGGCGACCGTAATGCTACGGACTCACGAAATTTACACCAGTTCCATAAGCAGACAGTGCAGTTTTTTTTTAAAATCAATAATAAACACTGTTAAACATGTTAAATCTAAAAGTCGAATATCTTAATTGGATATGGGGTAACCCATATCTATTCTTGTTTAAAATAAATGTTGTATATTATGTTCGATTTTGAGGAGTGATACAGCCCTAAGCTTACGAAATACACTGAGCAAGTTATGTAACACTACCAAGTCGTCTAAAAATATACAACTGGAAATCCCCGACCCTCTGTCGGCTACCTTTCGTGTGTATGGAAATCTTGTGTTTGTGGATATATAATGGCGGGTCTTATCTCTGAACAATATTATGCATAATTTCAAAGTCTCATTAAAATTTCAATGAGAATTTAAAAATCAGATTGGAATCTATTAGTAGTACATGTACAATTCCATTAAAAAATATTTAACTTGGTTCTATATATAGTTTGAATCTTCATTTTGTATATTCATTTCCTAATTTTTCACGACATCTTCTGGGCCTTTATTTCAAACAATGTAAATACAAACAGACAGAGGGCTATCAATGATAATGATTTCACAGAATCTCATTATCCATTAGTAGCACAAATTTTAAACTAAAAAATACTCACGAATTTTATTATTATATATATTTTTATTTCTAATTAGAAGAGTAATTAAATTAACATTTTTATTTTAAAAACAAATATTTACGAATCAGCTTCAAATATTACACGAGAAAAAGAATGGTCATACGTTTTTAATTTTCGGTACAAATATATTATAATTCATGTGCGTGAGAGTCAGACATGAAGGATAAATGTGAAATATTGCAAAAAAAATATATTGTTTTGTTATTCAACTGAACCATATTCAATACAAAATTTAAAAGTTCAATTTTTATTCATTATTTGTATACCTAGTAACTTTTATTGATTGCGTGTATATATTACTAGTTCCCATGCTAGAATTTTTTTATTTTGTAAAACCGTTTATATAAAAAATATAACTTTATAAATATCTATGAAGAGGAGAAAAATTAAAATAACTAAAAACAGTTCAAACAAAATATTAAACCATTTTAAAAGTCTTTTATTCACAATCCTAATAATACCTAATAATATAAAAATAATATCTCATTTCTCCCTGTGCACTTTCAAACACAACTGATTGATCACCTATGCGGCCGATAATAACGAAAAAAGGCACGGTCGCCGACAGTCAGTTTTGAATTTCAGTAAGAACGAATAATATTCTTGAGAGCAGAATGATTTATTGTTCAAAATTTCACTAGAAGGTTTTGTGTTCTCCACTTTACGTTCAAGATAAGGATATCAGCAACATCTTAAGCATTCAAAATTCCCCCCCCCCCCCCAAAAAAAAGCTTTCCAGCTAATGTAGAGCAAAATACATAATCTGAAATCAGATGAGTCAGAAGAGAAAAGTCGGACTGTAAAATTGATATAAATTTGATTTTATCGCAGAAACCTGGACCCACAATGCAACACTAGTAATCTTGTTCTCCGGAATGTAACTATGGTGCGGAAAACAAAGAAGGTTATAAAAGTAACTCACTTGCTTTAAAAAAATGCACAGAGATTATAAGTAAATTAGATTCTCTTTGTTTTGTTTTGTTTTTTTTTTGCATATTTAAAGACTTTGTTGTAGTAATACAACTTACATTCGATGTTATTTAATGTAACAGTCAATGCAATCAAGAGCTGGGTTTATTTCAATTTAACAACTGAGTTTGCCGCCCCCCCCCCCCTTTACAGCTGCCCCGTCAAAATATTACATTACTTATTCCAATGCAGTAAGAAATTTAAATTCTGATGAATTTCAAATTCAACCCATGCTTAGCGCTTTCCAGTACTTTCAGTACTTTGATTATTTTTTATGATGATTTTTAGCCGGGCTTATTGCTCAAGAGCAACTGCCGGCTTATGTGATCCTGTTCAAGGCAGGATGTTAACCCCATAGTCGCCATTTCAAAGTTATGTGCAAAAATATAGTTCTTACTCTCAACCGCTTTTGAGATAATACAAACGCTAAATAAAGCAATAAAAATAAAACGAAGTTTTATCTATATAAAATAAACATTAGTAGTAATGACTTTGAAAACTTCATAAGTCAAAGAACATAGTTCATTAGCGTAAGGATTTTTGATAATCAGTGTTACCGTAGTTCTCTACAAATACGAGGTAAAGCAGGAGGGGGAACCAGACTGGCCTGTTTGTTTACATTCAGCTGCGGTACCAGATTAATTCTGATTCTGACAAAATCGGACCGTGGTATTAGGATTGAAAAACTCACTGTCAGTATCTTATTTATATTGATAGTTTTAAAATAATTTTTTCATCAGAATATAAACGTGATTCATGTAAGAAATCCATTCTACTTTGTAAATGAGCCCGGCTCTCTGTACTTCTGAGTACTTTGATTTAGTAAAGTTCTACATGTACATGTAGACATTCATAGACATTTTCCGGCCTTGATTATACTCAGACAAGATAATGGAAAGAGGCATTCAAATTATTTGTAATAGATTAGATTTTCAGAACTAAATAAGTAATATGCTGTCATAGTTTTTATTTAACAGGACAAATGTTAGAGAGAGAGAGAGAGAGATTTAAGCCCCCTCCATTCTCAGATATCTGTTGTATCCAATAACAAGAGGCCCATGGGCCTTATAGGTGACCTGAGAATCATGCAACAACTTTCAAATGATTGAATTAGGTTAATGTTTTAAGGTAGATGCTATGACATTCAAAATTTTGAAAGAGGCTGGCATCATTGTTAATCCTAAACAATAAACTTAGCAATTGCTTAGTTTGGTTACTTAAAGGGGCTGGGTGGTCATGGCCATTTTTAGACTACTTCGATCTCCTTTAGAAGAAGAGCGCCATATAAAGATATACAAAAATAATCAAATTTTAAAATTAATATGTATGAAATTTTCTTTGTCAAATGATAGTTGACAGTTAAAGATATATCTAAAAATTTAAGTTGGTGGTTAATTTGTTGACCCCCAAGCCTCCTTAATACCCATAGGCAGGGTAATCAAATCAAAAGCTTGAAAAGCTTCAATGGCGTCGAACAAGAAAAACAATTTCAAAAGATCTGCAGATAGGTCAAGTGAGTGACTCCGGTAACATAAAAATTAAATTTAAAAAAATAGTCTTAACACTAATACAGTATAGGGCCTTATAGCCTTATGTCCTGGTCCGAATGAGTCAGGGTTCGAATTGACCAGACATCGTCAGAAATGGCCATGCTCTATATCAATCTAATTTCTTTTCAGTCAATCGAAGACCTATGAAGGGTTTCATAAATTATTCTTATTAATTGCCATTGTCAGAGCGTTGTTCTCTTGTATAGTGATTGCATCTTAACTACAACCATAACTCTAATGTTACAAGTACGATCGACTTATGACATGGCGCGGTAAACAAGTGGAGGAAATGGATAAATACAGTAATACTGGCATTACTGGTCAATATCGTCGGTTGTTCGGATAAAATTGGATTGAAGATCGTAAAAGTAAAGCTAAGACTAAGAAATTCAATCTTAATAGTCTTGTTGTATTCGTGTTTATTTTGTAATTATTTTACCGTCTTTAAGATTGTTTGTATTACAGTAATCGGTCCCAAAATGTGATTCATGTCATTCGACGCACCCTCTCTGTAGAAATTCATCCGCAACAACCATAACGTTTTTCTTGCGTAAAAATTCAACATAATATCGATGTTTTGTAGTAGTATTAATTGAAGATACAATTGATTTAATTTTATATTCAAGCTATTATTCATTGTGAACGTTTTAAAAGAAATTGGTTTACAGCTGTTGCTATTTTCTATTGCGGATGCATCCACTGACACATACGGTCGCTAGATGACGATCGTGCAAGTTCGACGCCATAAAAATGCATATCAACTAATCAGTAATATTCAGCAATAATCAGAAGTGCCCCTACCACAAATGAACCCTGATGACCCTAGGTCCACACATTGCACTATTATCAAAAATGTTTGTTTAATACATGTACCAAGGAGCAGATTTCAAACAATTCATTTTCAGTATATACATGTAAGTAAAGCCCCCCCCTGTCTCTATGGTATCCCTGACCCAGGGGCCTGGATATTCACAATTCTGGAAGAAGAGCCTTTGCACATCATTACTATAATAGTTCATCTGCTTATTACCCAGGAGCAGAGAAGAAGATTTTCAAAGAATTAATGTACGTATTTTCACTATAAATTCAATAAAGCCCCGCCCTAACACCAGAACCCCTGACCCTGGGCCCTAAAATTCACAATTTTGGTAGAGGCACTCTTGCTCATCATAACTATGTACTTAATTAGTTTATTTGATACCCAGAAGCAGAAAGAAGATTTTCAAAGAATAAATGCATTTTCACTATATAATCAATGGAGCCCTGCCCTACCACACCAGAACCCCTGACCCTAGACCATAGGGTCATAGAATTCATAATTTTGGTAGAGGCACTCTTGCCCATCATACCTATGTACTTAGTTAGTTTATTTGATACCCAGGAGCAGAGAAGAAGATTTTCAAAGAATTAATGTACATATTTTTACTATAAATTCAATAAAGCCCCGCCCTTACACCAGAACCCCTGACCCTGGGCCATAAAATTCACAATTTTAGTAGAAGCACTCTTGCCCATCATAACTATGTACTTTGTTAATTTATTTGATACCCAGGAGCAGAGAAGAAGATTTTCAAAGAATTGATGCATTTTCACTATATAATCAATGGAGACCTGCCCTAGCACCAGAACCCCTGACCCTGGGGCCTAAAATTCACAATTTTGGTAGAGGCACTCTTGCCCATCATAACTACATGTATGTACTTAGTTTATTTGATACCCAGGAGCAGAGAAGAAACTTTTCAAAGAATTGATGCATTTTCACTATATAATCAATGGAGCCCCGCCCTAACACCAGAATCCCTGATCCTGGGGCCATAAAATTCACAATTTTGGTAGTGGCACTCTTGCTCATTATAACTATGTACTTAGTTAGTTTATTTGATACCCAGGAGCAGAGAAGAAGATTTTCAAAGAATTAATGTACATATTTTTACTATAAATTCAATAAAGCCCCGCCCTTACACCAGAACCCCTGACCCTGGGCCATAAAATTCACAATTTTAGTAGAAGCACTCTTGCCCATCATAACTATGTACTTTGTTAATTTATTTGATACCCAGGAGCAGAGAAGAAGATTTTCAAAGAATTGATGCATTTTCACTATATAATCAATGGAGACCTGCCCTAGCACCAGAACCCCTGACCCTGGGGCCTAAAATTCACAATTTTGGTAGAGGCACTCTTGCCCATCATAACTACATGTATGTACTTAGTTTATTTGATACCCAGGAGCAGAGAAGAAACTTTTCAAAGAATTGATGCATTTTCACTATATAATCAATGGAGCCCCGCCCTATCACCAGAATCCCTGATCCTGGGGCCATGAAATTCACAATTTTGTAAGAGGCACTCTTGCTCATCAGAACTATGTACTTAGTTAGTTTATTTGATACCCAGAAGCAGAGAAGATTTTCAAAGAATTGATGCATTTTCACTATATAATCAATGGAGCCCCGCCCTAGCACTAGAACCCCTGTCCCTGGGGCCATAAATTTCACAATTTTGGTAGAGGACTCAATGCTGATAAGTATCATGCCAACAGTTTGACTGATTGATGTCCAGGAGTAAAGAAGAAGATATTTAAAGATGGCACTAATTTTAGTGGTTTTGGTCCCACCCCCCAGGCCCCAGGGGGGGGGGGGAGGGACCATGAAATTCAAAATTCTTGTTCCCCTTCACCCATAGATGCTATATTCCAAAATTGGTTGAAATTGGTTCAGTGGTTTCAGAGAAGAAGCTGAAAATGTTCAAATGTTAACGCAAGACAAACGACGAACGATGACGGATGAAAACGGATAGCAATAGGTCACCTGAGTTTACTCAGGTGACCTAAAAATTCATATTATTATTTCTTTTCTAAATATTCCAGGCAGTGAAAGTAACCATTCTTTTGAAAATTAACAAATCCATTTGACAGTAATCATCAACTTTTATTATTTTATTATTTTATTATTTTCCTTCATCAACTTCACATGGTTCACACGAGGTCCACGTGCTTGTCCAGTTAATCAAAATCATTCGACACAGTGGAGGTGTGGAAATCTCGTTTCACCGAACATGCCGAAGTCACTTAGTATTTCCAAGAAGTTTTAACATTTTTTCCTATCAGTAATCTATAATTTCTACATCTGATTTTCGCATTTCTGTAGAAAAAATAAATGAATAATGGGAATATATACTTGGAAGTATTAAGTTTGAATTTGAAACATACTCCCTGCCAATTTAAAATACTACTGTCGGCACATGTATATTTTGAAATACTATTGTTTAATGACTGTTTTAAAGTTTGTTTTAAGACTGATTTTCTTGTGTTACAATACACATTAAATATTAATTAAAATATACTGAAAATACTAACTAAGAATATGATTTCGGGAGAAAAGGCGTAGGGGAGGGGGGGGCTCTTAATCATACTGAATGGCAAACATATATTTAGTTACGGTGAAGGAAGGAATTTTCCCTCTCTATTAATAGACTTTATATATGTAAAGTAGAAAAAAAATCATAATGCATTACATCTTAAACAGTTGGTCTTTTTTTTTAATTTAAATTCATGCACACTATCAATTTATCAATTTAATTCGCTCTAAAGATATTTAATTAACTGAATATCTGCAGTACTGTTTATAATTACATGTAGCTGTAACATGTTTTCCTGCATTTTTTAAAAATACATGTCAGAAAATTTTTTTTGTATTCTTGTCTTGTAAAAGACTTGGATTATTATCCATCCATTAACAATTTGTCGTCTTTTACATTACAACAAAATGTTGCCGTGCTTGAAGTATTTGTACATTGACTTATTTAAATTTAATATTTTAGCATCGTTCTACGTACATGTAGGTACTTAATGTATTATTTTCCAGGGAAATTTCATGTATAAAGTAACAGCTAAGCTATAATAATAGAAATATAATAAATACCGTTGATACTTTTTGCAATGAAATAATTATTCTTCAAACACGATATCTTAGTAATTTAATTAAAAAACCTGTAAAACCTTACCATCAAAATGATAAGTCCTTTCACTTCGGAGTTCCGAATGACAATAAAGACTGAACATTAAGTGAACGGTGAACGCAAGATGAACGCAAAGTAAATGGAACGAAGAGTGAATGGTGAATGGTGAACCTGAGCGCACGGTGAACAGTGAACACAAAACTGTGAACGGAGCGCGAACGGTGAATGCACGCTGAACGAACCGTGAGTGAACGGAAAAATGGGAAAGTAGAACGTTTCAGGGACTGTACTTACCTTTCATTAGAGGTGAATTGTCAACTGGCCCTGGGTAGGCACCCTGCTCTCCAACACTACTTAGGTCCCACTGATCATAGCCTACATACTTTTTCCACTGTTTGAACCATTTTGCATCAATAAGATACCTAGGAGAATTTATTTATACTTGTAAATTTTTATTTAACATAAAAATTGCAAATAATCATAAAAGTTAATCACATCTAACCTCACCTTCTTATTTTCTGAGTGAATTGGAACAAATGCAGTAACCCAGTTATAAACTAGATGCTGTCATGAGACAGTAATACCCGCACTAAGGTGTTTGCCTCTAAATGCACACTCCTTCAAATTGGGCTTTAGCAAGGAAAAAGTCAATATAATTCAATAATTTACATAATACATGTATTCATCAAATTGAGCTTAATATGCTCAGGTGACCATGTGACCCATGGGCCTCGATCTTATAGGTATTTCATATTCTTAATTCATTACCAGTCTGAAATTAAACAATAGAATTAAATTAATGATGTAAATTAGGTTTGATAAAGGGGGGATATAAATTTTTGGCCCATAATTGGAACTTTTTAAATCTATTTTCTCATATAGATCAGCAACAAATAATATTATTCAAATTAGTGTAAAGCGTTTTTGATGAATTTTTCAAAATGTGCAAACTTTTTTTATACTTAGTATTTGATTAGGCAGAAACTCCTTGAAAGCTGCCATATACCCAATCAATTTAGTCAACCCCCACCCCTCTTCTGTCAACACACTGACACACAAACACACCCTATTTGCCTGTTTTTGGAAATAGGCCTAGATGGCAAAGTTAAGATAAAACATCTTTTGTAAATGATAATTTTCAATTTGTTCTTGTCCCATACATCTATCTGAACACCTGCATCACATTGGGCTTGCGTCACATACCCAGCTAAAGTACTAGTTTTACCATTATCATTTTTAGATTGCTCTGCTCGTGCAGTGTGGTATACACATCATTGCATGTATGTCAGTAGGAATTATTTCATTTTGTGTTTTAATTGGATTATATTTCATGAAGTTGACTGGACCAATGATAAGATTGCTTGACATTTTATTCATGAATTTGTGTCAACCTATCCTCCTAGAATTAGGAATGAAAATCATTCAGAGATGGACCACATTAAACTGTTTGTAAAAACATTTTTTTAAGTGTAAAAAAAGGGATAGTTTGCATACATGAACAAACAGGGGTCAGGGAAGGGGTGAGGGGAAGGATTGAGTTAATATTTCTTTACGTCTTAATGGTTGAAAACTCCTAAAATGAATTAATGTTGACCTCAAATCTGATTTGTCCTCATTATTTTTCAAGTGGTGGTGTCTCCATATGAGTGAAAAATTCCTGAGAGGGATGTTTAACAACAAACAAATGAAATAAAAGCACAATATTTAGATTTGCGTTAAGAAATATGCCGGGGATTTTTTCCATCATAAATCTTCTCAAGAACAGCAAGGGCATTATTGTCCCCCCTTTTTGGAAAAGGGAGGGGACATTAAATCTCATTTGTCTGTCAGTCTGTCCATCTTATTGACAGTATGTGCATCTGTCACAATGCATTTAACCTTGGTCATAGATTTTGAATAATAAGAGATAGGGCTTTCATATTTCACATACATATTATCACAAAACTTTCTATTAAAGTGTTTTACCTACTTTCCAAAAATTAACATTTATTTAAATTGATCATTTTGAAAGAGAAAAGATAGGGCATTCAAATTATACATTGTATATTACATGTGAAAAGATTTGCTAAATATATCATTACTTTTGACTCTGTGACCTTGACCTAGAAGTTTAACCTACATATCAAAAATATTATATTATATATATAACTTTTGATTCAAAAGAGATAGGACTTTCATATTTGACATGTACATTACCTGCAACAAAATGTTTCCGAGCATGCTATGATTTTTTTCCCTTTGACCTAATTTTCAAAATTGACATATAATAGGGGTGCATATTTGACACGCAATCTGCCATAAATTACGGCATTCCATTCACTAGAACACAGAAAGCAGAGGACCACAATTCTTTGAATTTGCTTGTATAATCTTGATATATGAAAACATCCTCATATAATGTAGATTCAAGTTTTTATGCCACACCATGATTAGGAATACATGTATAGTTTTTGTCATGTCTGTCCTCCACCCTTCCATCTGTCTTTCCATCGGGCTCAAAGAAACTTTCTAGATATTTTTATCAAAGTTCATATGTTGATGCATACTGATCTAAATATCCAACTGCAGCAATATTTTTTGACTTTGACTTTTCCTTTGACCTTCACTTAACTTTTCTTTAAATTAATGTTTAGCTTTATTTTAAAGAAACCATTCAAGTTGTGTAATGAAACTTCACATGATGATACCTGTGCCTAATTGCTATGAGTGATAATACTGTGGGTACTATGGCTAAATACCTGACTAAATCTTAAAATAATTATGGATCAAAGTATTAACTCTATTTTCTCTAATTTCATATAGTTATGAAAAGTAATTCAAGGTAACATGTTTTTCAATTTCAACAGGCACATTCAGTATTAATGAAAAGAAGGGTAAGTGGTAACTGAAAAAAGTTTATACCTAACACCCCCCCCCCCTCTACCCGCATGAAATAGGATTTTCAGATTTGGACAATGGTCAAGTTCTCCAATTTTTTGTCAAGTTTTTTCAGGTTGAATTTTTTTCTCTTTGAATACCCCCCCCCCCCCTTTTTATCCAATTTTCCAATGCCGTTGAATCATGCTTACCTGAATTTACCATGTATCAACATTTGTACTAAGTCAATATATCAGTTAGACTAAAAATTGACCTTTTTTATAAATTTGTTTTCAATACTCTACATGTATTAAATCAATAAATGGTTTATCCATATTCTATACACATCTCAATTTATACTTGTTTTTTTTTTTTAAATCATGACTTTTCCACAAATGTTACAACCCTGTTGCGCTTCCGTACTTCTTAGCATCAACCAAAGAACAAATATTTAAGCAAATATCATGGGTTTCTGAAGAACATTATTTTCAACTTTTGAACAAGAATGGAAAGCTAAGACCCTAACAAATATAATTTCGATATTATACATCTTTATATGCTTTAAAAACATATATGACTGTAAATATTGAAACCTTCACTAAAGAAGGCATGATTTACACGTGGATTTCAGCCTCCTATTCTCACACGCAGCAGTGATTGTCTTAAAATTCTAGCCAATATTGTCAGTTTTTTGTAGTAAATTCACGCTTCAATGCAGCTTTCTCTCGGATTTTTAATATGCACGAGATTTTTGATTATTTCATAATGAAAACAACAAAATACCAATTTATGGTAATGTTTTTCTACCGCTATAGAGGGATAATCGCGTTTTAGCGAGATGTTCTCGCTAAGGGGGAAGTGTTCCCAACCTGTTTAAGTAGGGTACTACTAAACAGAGTATGATAGAGTACTTTAGAGTACGCTAAGAAAATTGTGCAATTTAATATAACTAGACTGTAATAATATTGCAATATTTGTCTCTAAGATTTTTGGGGTTTTTTAGCGATAGTTTGACAAGAAAGCATCATGAACAAGAGGCCCAAGGCCCTTGAATCGCTCTTCTGATAAATTGTACAATCTATCACTTCTATTTGAAGCCTCTTACTCTAAGTATCCTAAGATGCATGAACTGACAAAGTTTGATGATTCTTTGCCTGTTAGGACTGAAGATATTTCAGTATAGCTATAAAATACCATAAGTAGGACATGGTGACCTACTTTTTGATTTGAAACTTTCTGAGGACTCAAGATGCATTAATTGACAAAGATTGATGGTTCTATTGAATAAGTACCTCACAAATTAAAGTAGATCACTGTGACCTTCTTATGGTTGACATTCCCCGAGGACCAAAGATGCATCAACTATCAGAGTTTGATGATTCTAAGCCAATTACTTTTTGGTCGACATTTTCCGAGGACCCAAATGCATCAACTGACAATGTTTGATGATTCTAAGTCAATAAGTCAACTTTTTAAGTCAACTAAGTCAACTTTTTGGTCGACATTCTCTGAAAACCCAAGATGCCTCAACTGACAACGTTTGATAATTCTTAACCAAAAAGTACCTGATATATAGTGATAAAATGTCAAAACTAGGTCACAGTGAGCTACTTTTTGGTCGACATTCTTCGAAAAACCAAGTTGCATCAAATGGCAAAGTTTTGATAGTTCTAAGCCAAAAAGTACCTAAAAATACTTAAATATAGCTGTAAAATGTCAAAAGTAGGTCACCATGACCTACTTTTTGGTCAACATTTTCCGAGGACCCAAGATGCATCAACTGACAATGTTTGATGATTCTAAGCCAATAAGTACCTGAGATACTCAAAAGTAGGTCATTGTGACCTACTTTTTGGTCGACATTCTCCGAAAACCCAAGATGCCTCAACTGACAACATTTGACAATTCTAGGCCAATAAGTACCCGGTATACTTAAATATAGCCATAAAATTCAAAACAAGGTCACAGTGACCTATTTTTTGGTCGACAGGTTTTGAAAACCCAAATTGCATCAACTGACAAAGTTTGATGATTCTAAGCCAAAAAGTACCTAAGAGACAAAGTTTGATGATTCTAAACCAAAAAGTACTAAGATACTGAAATATAGCCATAAAATGTCAAAAGTAGGTCACTGTGACCTACTTTTTGGTCGACATTTTCCGAAGACCCAAGATACATCAACTGACAAAGTTTGATGATCATAGGTCTGAAAGTATTCAAAATATGCCTTTTAAACAATTTGAAAACAAATGCCTGGAAAATACAAAAAGTACGTCACAGTGACCTACTTTTTCATAAATTATGTTTTAAGGCCCCAAGATGCATCAACTTACAAGGTTTGGTGAATCTAAACCTCTCAGTATCTGAAATAATGAAATGTTTTAGAAAAGATGAGCCATAAAATTCAAAAAGTAGGTCACGGTAACCTACTTTTAAGTTGGCCTTGTTTAATGACCCAAGATGCATTAACTGACAAAGTTTGATGATCATAGGCCTTAAAGTGTCCAAAATATGCATCCAAATCAATTTAAAAACAAAAGCCCATAAAATTTAAAAAGTAGGTCACCGTGACCTACTTTTGTGTTAA